CTCCAGGGGCTCCAGGGGCCTCCAACAGGCCTCCGGGGCCCCAAAAAACCCTTTCAAACGAAATAGGCCACCCGGGTGGGGGGTCGGCCCAGGCTGAGGCGTGTCTGCAAGGGGGAGTAGAGGGGGTTTTTTAAAGGGATCTGAACGCCCTGAGGCTGGACAGCCTCGGCGAATTTATACACAAGTTCCGAAGAGCAACCCAGCCGTTCCTGATTTACTTCAGCCCAAGGCTTTTGCTGAGCATATTCCCCTCCGCAGGTTCAGAGCTTACATCCTAAATTTAGGGTTTAGGGTTTCGGGCTTGGGAATTTCAACTAGAAGAAGGGGTCCCAATATTATAGCCTTTGCTATTGGGCATTTCAATGATAGGGGGTCCCAATATGATAGTCTTTGCCATAGAGATTCCCATGTTTGGAAGCGGCCACATTCCCCAAAATGATCTGCACCCACGCGCAGCTCTGCCCGGTTCCATATTCTAGAGTACTGTATGGCTCTCGGTAAACAGTTCCAGACGCTCCCGAACCTTCAATTGCCTACGGGTGATCAGCAGGATTGTTCCAATCTGAATGGACACAGTAAAATCATGTCCGTTTTCCATTGTTTGTGGAGAATGGGCCAGGCCTCCGCCTCATCGTTCGGACGCTGAGATTGCGGATGTCTGTAGGGTACAAGGACCAGAACATCCCGCTGACGGCGTTCTTATGTCGCATATACAAACAGGAAAAATCGTGGCGATTAGGGCTATTAAATATCCACAGTGACCAACCATGTCGTATACATGGCAGTTGGTTACTCGGACTCGATTGGCCCTGGCATTAGCAGCTATTGCCCCAAAGCTCGCAGGGTCTATCTTTGAGCAGAAAACGTGGCTGCATACACGGCTCCTCAACAACGACAAACGAAAGGTCGTGCTGAATTGAAGAGAATGACCTAATCAAATAAACTCCATTTCAACTGAACATTAAGCCTAGCTACCCAATAGTAGTAACATTGGTGTGGACAAGGTCAGAACAGCGGCCAGCCATGCCCTGGAGATTGCCATGCCTGGCAAGGAGGTGGGGAATTGGCAGAGAGCGAGGAGCTCTCACGGCAGTGGTAGAAGTAGAAGTAGAACTTCTAATAGGAATACTCGTAATTTCGATTGCTATCATCAAAAATCTATGTTCTTCGTATTGTTTTTATGCTTGGAATATTCGTGGTTACTGTTGTTACCATCCAAATTCGTATTCTTCTCATTCTTGTTTTGACTATTCTCATGTCTTGCTGCTGCTCCTAAACCCATTCTAAGGCCTTCGGGAGTAGCGCTTGGCCTTAGTTTTTGGCTCAGACTGTCCCCGTGCCAGTCAACAGCATGGAGGCTGCCTGTAGCAACTTACCTGCAAGCACAACATAGTCGAAATCATCTGGGTGGTTCTCAAATTTTGAGTACCCTAAATAGTAGGTGCCGTATTATAATAGGGATCCAAAAAGGGACCATACTTTTGACAACGACCCATATAGCAACAATGATTTTAGTCATGGTGGTAATAGTACCTGTAATCAGGGTCACCATATCCTAGAAGTCCGCCAACTGAAGATCATCCCGGTGCGAACCTCCCTAAACCCTAGACCCAAAACAAAAAAGACCAAACCCTAAACCCGGAAGCAAACAACCCTAAACTCAAGGCATGTTGAGGCCTGGCCGCCCTTGTACTGTACCGGAACGGGTTTCGCAGTCATTGAGCTGGTGTGGATTCGGGGGTGTCTGGGGGTCCAGAGCCTAGTTCAGGACCATGGAGTTTGAGAGCCTGAAGAATGGCTGCAGCAGCTCAAGTTGTTCCTCACACGGACCTCCAGCCCTCCAGGTGCTTTCCACAAACTTCCCAGGCTCCAGCTCCAGGGCTCCCCTGACACGCGCCTCCCAAAACTTTTACAACCTGAACCGTCTCCTCCCAAAGCTTGCCAGGGGCCAACCCCACCGCGGCCCCGTTTCCCAGTCTGAGGGGCTTCTGGGGAGCTTCAGAAGCCCAGCGATTTGAGTTGTTGACCTAGCTGGACCTAACCCTAAACTCTAAAAGGAGTGGGTTTGGGTGTCTTGGCCGCCTCACACGGTGTGGGGTGGGTGACGTGTGAGATGGCCTTCCGCAGTCGGGCCACATCTCCTTCGCAAATCTCGATGCACTCGACGAAACCTTGCAGCCCATCTATTGCACGAAGCCCGGAACCCTAAACCCCAAACCCTCAATCCACCTTGTACAGGGTTGACTGACCAGCGGGGCTGGCTGCTCGCGTGCACTGATGGGACCTTGAGATGACAGTTATGACAGTCATGGCTGAACATCGAGGCTGTGCAAGAAGGTGGCGAGTTCGCTCGTGTGCACTGATGGGATCCTGAGATGTCAGTTCTGGCAAGTCTGCTCATGTGCACTGATGGGATCCTGGGATATCAGTCATAACGGTCGTGGCTGAGCATCGTGGCTGTGCAGGAAGGTGTCAAGTCTGCTCATGTACACTGATGGGATCCTGAGATGTCAGCTGTGGCAAGTCTGCTCATGTGCACTGATGGTATCCTGGGATATCAGTTATGACAGTCGTGGCTGAGCATCGTGGCTGTACAAGAAGGTGTCGAATCTGCTCATGTGCACTGATGGGATCCTGGGATGTCAGTTGTGGCAACTCTGCTCGTGCGCATTGATGGGATCCCGAGATGTCAGTGGTCGTGAGCGTCCAGTGAGTACAGTCTCTTCCCAGTGAGTGGTGCTGAGCCTATGTCTATTTTTCAAATGAAGGAGTTCATTCTTTGATGTCGGCGCAGTTCATGACGATGCGCCTCACTGCCATTTTCAGTTTCGTCTTCATTTTGTCATTCAACTCACCCTCGGAAGTGTAGTTCTTGCCAGCTCTCACAGGCTTCTGAAGCTTCCATTTGATTCGCGGGTATGTTCCTTTACCCTCTCCTTCCCCTATCAACCCTATTACCCTTCCACTCTGCGGCTGCATTCTGAAACCTGTGGCGCGGCCCTTGGAGCTGACTGTGGTGGCCTTGGGACTTCCTTACATTTGGGGTTATGGGTTTTCGTGTGTGTGGTTAGCTCGGAGGGCTCTGTAATTCACCACGGTTTTCGCAGTGGTGTGCACTTTCCAGTTGTGATCTCAGTTGCCCTGCATGCGTAACAGCCAAGCGGGAGGGAAAAAAACCCAAACCCTCGTCCTTTGCCGTGCCTGCACCTGTGCGATGCGCGTGTCTAAACCCAAACCCTGAATCTTAAGGCGCGACAAAAAAACCCTTAAACCCGCAACCCTAAACCCTAAACTCCAAACCCTCAACCCTAAACCACCCATCCCAGCAAACTCAGGAAGCCCAGGGCAGAACTCGTCATCCAGTGAGCCGCGAGACTTTGCCGGCATTGACTTCGGGGAGACTTGGCCCTATCTAAGGGAGGTTTTGGGTTAGGGTGTTTAGGGTTTTTGTATGGGTTTTGGTTATTTTGGATTTAGGGGTTTAGGGTGGAGTTCTCTCAGGCCGGCGCCCCAATCCTGGGTTAAAAAAGGGGTTTAGGTTCAGTGCCTTTCACAGCAGAGGCGTTTGCAGGCTGGATGCAGAAGGCTTTGGGGTTTGGGTTTTAATTAAGGTGTTTAGGCTTATATGGCTTAGGGTCAAGATCTGGGGAACTGTTCAATGTTCGGGCGGGGGTGGGGGTAGGGGTAGGGGATTTTCGAAGCCGAAGGTCTAGACATGGAAGTGCTGAAGGAGAGTGTGAGGGGAGTCGATCACCAAAGGGTGCCCCATGGGCTCGCAGGCTAGGTTTAGGGTCTAGGGTCCTATCATGATAGCAATGATAATACAGACCCCTGATTAATAAGCCCCTTCCTTTTAAGGCCCAATATGATGCAAGGTATACTCCTTAATTCAGGTGCTCTCTGTGTACAAGCCCCTTTATGAGGCCAGCTTCCATTTAGTGTTCTTTTGATTTCATTCCCACTGTGGGTAAGTATGCCTCTTAATTGAAGGGTACTAGGCCCCCTTTGCATACCCTAAGCCGTAAACCTTAAACCACCCAGGAGTTTGTCGTGGAGGTCGTGACAAGTATGGAGCCGCTACAGCCAGACATTATTCAGGCATCAGTGATATGGTAGTTTCTTTTAGTTTCCTCTTAAACAGTGCGCGCTTTTGGAAATGAGACCTCGGAAGATACATGGGGACATATAGCTCATATATGTTGCCCAGCCCTGGTTACTCTTAAGGCTAAAGCAGGGTCCTATAAGAAAATGTCCCAATAAACGTTGCGAAATGAGGTGCCATGGTTTAGTCTTAAGAATGCCGAGGGCTTAACGGTCGTAAGGGGGTTGTAACAGATCATGAGCATGTGGAGCAGTTTGAGGGGTTTAGTGGGCAGAAGTTCTTTGAACATTGTCAGGCATTTGGGGCTGTGGATGGTCATTTTTGTTGGGTTCATTGCTCGCATAGATACCATACAAGACCCCAAAGCAGCAACTATAGTTCAGCCAATCTGCGTACCCTGTGATCAATAGCCTGGATTTCTGTGTGGTTCCGGGGTCAACATTTGGGACTACTAGATCGGCAAAAGATTTTCAAACACAGCCAGCGACGGACTACATTCAGCCAACTTGCGCACGCTTTTATCTCCAAATGACCCGGATGTTGTCAACGGCGCTCATGCCGGGTTTGGGGGAACAAGGTCGTAAGAGCGATGGTATATAACTGTCCTCAAAGACCCCCGGCAACGGGCTTTATTTGCCAACTTGAGCCGCGGTTTTCTGTTCAGGACCGATCCGGAGCAGGACATTCCGCAACGATTGGGGGCGTTTCGGATCATTCGGAATCGTTCGCGAGCGTTGGGGAGTTTTTGGGAGCGTTTTCGGGAACGTCCGGGAATGGGAGTACAGGGAGCTTGAGGCTTCGGGACCTCGATCAGAACGATCGTTCGGGATCGTTTGGGATTGCCCGGGATTGCCGAGCTGGAGAGCGCTCGGGAGCTCAGGAGGCCTTACAATCCCGAACGCTCCCGAACGCTCCCCCCCGGATAACGCTCCCGAACGAGAACAATCCCGAACGCTCAAGAAGGGTATGGGCCCATGTTTCATGAAGAGACTGACTGCTATTGGGCCCAACAAAAACTTGGAAGGTGCATCACGAGTCCCAGGTTGTGCTTCTAATGAAAGCTACACGCGTCCCATTATTGTGATCTAGAAGGGTCCCGCGAGCGCGTATTTCCAGGAGAAACGTTTTTTTTTTTGGCGCCCGTATTTCGAGAAGAAATGATTGTGATTGGGCCCAATTAAAAACCTGGAAAGTGCACCCCTTGTGTCCCACTTTTATTTTGCGAAAGTTCATCGGTTGTGTCCCTATTAATTTTCCGAAAAGGCCTCCTGGTGTCCCAATAAAATCTCCGAGAGCATCAACGCGCGCACCACTGCTTGCACCAAAGTGTTGCCTAGGCTTAAGAGTTCCGAGGGCAAGCCAACATATCTGGTTGAGATTTAGGGGTCCGGTTTCCCCTTAACCTTAAACCCCTGGCTAAAAAAGGCATAGTTTGGTGGTATGCGTCCCGGGCAGCAGGCTGAGTCAGGGGAGGGAATGCAGCCTTTCCCAAATTCCGTGGCTCCCTGTAGGGTTGAGGGTTGAGGGTTTAAGGTGCGGCGTTCAGGCTAGGGGGCTTTGGCCCTCAACAGTCCCCGGCAGGAATGAGACTCTCCGGGAAAAAGTGTAGTCCCGACGTGAAAGTTTTCAGCATAAGCAAGCAGTTGTTTGTTGCGTGTCTGCGTTTTCTGCAGCTGGCTGGACCTAAACCCTCAACCCTAAACCGTCAGGGCTGCCAAGGATTGAAAATTTCAAGGATGATCAACAGTTCAAGTTAGGAACAAGCTGACAAAGCGACATCGATTGCGCAAGAGGCCCAAAATCGGAAGAAAGAACAAAATAACGACAGGCAGAAAGAAAGAACCAAAGAAAACAAGGACAGAAAGAGGGACAGAAAGAAAGAAGGCACAGCCGCGGTGGGGGTGCACGGGTTTCGGTACAGCCCGTAAATTCAGGAAAGAAGAAAAGAAAGAAGGACAGGCAGAAAAATGACATACTGATTGAACGTAGCAGTGACCACTCCAGTCAAAGGTTTTGCTATCTGGGGCCCCTGGCTGAAAAGCTTGAAAGAGATATGCACCTTGAACGTTTCAGTTTGCAAAGTTTGCTGTGCTTTGCGAGCATGTCAACAGCTCGAGCTGTGCAAGTTTCGGTGTCTCCAACTTCGCTAAAATTTCGTATCGTGTAGTAGTGAACGGTTTTTGGAGTTCCCTGCAGCCTGTGACTTGTGGAATGTGAGGATGCGAAGCTTCTGAACACTTCAACATCACCGAAGTCCTGTATTGGAGGTCCAGAAACAGGTGGTGTAGGTTTTAGACTCCCCCCTGCAATCAAACATCCAACTTCTAGCTTTCGACTTGCGCGACCATTTCGTCCTTCTGTGCATTTTGATTCGGTCCTGACGTTGTCCGATTCGGGCTCCCAGCTTTTCCGACTCGGCCTCGTGTGTTTCCCGATTCGCGCAGTCCCTGTGTCTCAGGGCATTTTCTGATTGGCGTCGTCCCATTCACCCCAATCCCTATACTGGGTTGCTGTTAAGGAACTTAATTTCAATGATTACATGGGGAAACCATATTAATTACTACACATACCCATAATAGTAACTTAACTTAAATTCCTTAACAGCTACCCAGTATACCCCCAACTTCTCTATACTCTTAGACCTTAACCTTAAACCTTAATCTTGAAACCCTACGCTAATCCCTACACCGCCTCCCTAATATTAACACCCCCATCCCCCCTAACATTAAATATACCCATTAGGTGGTATAGTAAAATACATTGGGACACATTAGCAGTATTTGGGGGGGGGATGGGGGGAGGGTTAATTTGGGGGGCGGCATTAACATCAGGAGGTGGGTGGGGGGGGGGTTGGGGAGGTTTAATATTAAGGGGGGGGACCTTAAACCCTAAACCCTGAACCCTCTAAACCCTACCTCCCTGAAGGCCGCCAGAGCCCGGCAAGCACTTCGCTGCTTCGGCCAAGCCTTTCGCAAGCGAGGTGCAAAGTCAGGACGTCAAAGTTAGGTTCTATTTAAGGTGTAGGGTTTTAAGGCGTAGGGTTTGGGGTTGGGTTTGGGTTTGGGGTTAGTTTAGGGTTTAAGGTTTAGGGCCCCTGCCTGCAGATATGAAGGAAGACCTGTTGTTCAGTTCGTCGCTTCAGGGTGAAAGGCATCTGCAGTAGGGTGAGGGAAGAGTTTGGCCCTGGCCTGAGAGTGCCCCATCAGGACGCCAAAGCTTTCCCACAGAGCGAATTGACCAGTTTTGGAGTCACAGCTGGCATGGCAGTGTTTGGTGCAAAGTTGCGACTGCAATCTACCTGAACAACGGCAGGATGGCAGCTCTGATTGCAACCCTCGGTGCCATGATTGTGGCAACACTGGTCGCGTACGGCGTGCTCCCGGACATGAACTTTGGGGGTCCAGGGCAACCGCCAAATCCCAATTGGCCACTTTGGTGCCTTAAGGGGGGATTTGTGGTGCACTGCTTGGTGCTGATCTTTTGGCGGCCTCGTCAGCGAATCTTCCTGGACATCTTGTGTATAGATCAAGAGGATAATGATTTGAAAGGTGCGGCCCTTGTGAGCATGGGAGCTTTCCTGAAGTCTTCTGATGCACTGGTAGTTTTCTGGGATCCTTCGTTTACGCGCCGCTTGTGGTGTGTGTTCGAATTGGCCGCATTTCTGTACAGCCGTCCATCTAACCAGACCCCAAAGCTAACAATACGGCCAACACTTCTGGGCCCAGCTTTTCTTTCGCTACACGTGGGCCTCTTCTTTGTTATAGCAGGCATCTCTTTGTTGCCTCCTGACGTGCATGGAGATTTCCTTTGGCCTGCGATGGGCTTGGTGGCCTTTGTTGGGTTCTACATGTGCGTTGCGGCATTGCGTGCATATTTCCAATCTGTGCAGCTTTTGGAGAGCGAGTTGGCCGACTTTTCTGTGAAAGACAGCTTGTGCTGGTGTTGCAGTTGCAATCATAGAGACCGTTCCGGTGCGCCTTTGTCGTGTGATCGGGAGGTAGTTTTCCGATGCATTATCATATGGTTTGGTAGCCTCGAGAATTTCGAGACAAAAGTCCGCACAGAAGTGTTGGAAAATCTGGTTGACCAGCTGTCCAAACAGATCTTCACGTATCAGCAGTGTGCTGCTGCCGCTCTGCCCGTTTTCTGGTACATTTTGGATTCAGCCTCCCGCCATGCTGCCTACTCGGATGACTGGGAAGAGGGAACCGCACGAAGACTGCTACGGGGAGTTGGCTGGGCATTTGGAGCCATCCCAGTGCTTTTCTTTATTGGGAGCAGGCTTACGTACTTCTTGCAGAGCAAACGTGGCAACATGTGTGCTGAGGTCGCGATCAACGGCTGCATCCTTGTAATGGTGATTGCCGTGTTGGTTGGCATGCTAATCTTGGAGCAGTTCTTGTGGGGGGGCCAGATCAAGGAACTGGCGGCCTTGAACATCAAGTACAACCTGCTTCCCGGCTCAGCCATCTTCGCCGCCATAACGATGCTGCTGGGAACTTGCCTGTTTTCCTCCACTGGTCGATCATGCTGTGCAGCTAGGTGAGCACGGATACTCGCCGCGTTGCCTGTGCAGCTGCGTTTTGAGTCTTGATTTGAAGCAATGCCAAGCTCCAACCAATTTTTGACTTGACATTCGCGTCGTGCCCGCACACTGTCTTAGACTTGTTAGGAGTGTCAGAGTCCTTCAGCAGCTGTCCTACAGCAAAGTACACGTGCAATTCAAAGTCTATGTGTAAGACTCACCTCAGTCAGAGGTTGGCCGGCAGTAGCAAACAAGCTTGAAGCAGAACAGCTGCTGGGCATTGCAAATACCGATTTGAATCCTTGGCCGGATGCCTCGAGGCACAAAAGGCCTGGCATCATTTAAGCTGTAAAAATATGCCAGTCACTGTAAATAGGGGGACCCAAATGTAGACATGAATGCTCTGTAATTATCCTTGTTCTGCAAAGGGGACCCCGATTTTCTGGAAACTCCCCGATCTCGAAGGTGAGGTGCCTTGTATGAGAATCAGGAGCAGGACCCCTCTGACTCGGAGAAAAATTGTGGTGCCCTTTTGGGTCCTGTGACATAAGATGCCGCCGAATATATGGGTACCGCATGAGCCTAAGGTTTCATTTTAGGGACCACAGTTTCAGAATCACACGCAGAGGGCAGTTTGGCAACCAAACTGTGACGATCCTACCTGCGCCAAGGCATCACCTGTGCTGTGAAAATCGTATCGCTTTCCTGTCTCTGTGTAGTTCAGCTTTTGTCTGTAGGTCTACGCGGATTGCAGAGCAGTCCTGCCTGCTACCAGCAAGCCCCTTGATCAAGACGTAGTCAGGACATTCTGCACTAAGCTGGCTTCAATAGCATCAGGAAGGAATTGTGCGATCTTCTTATAGTGCCACCGCAGCTGAGTAGTACTATGCTACTGCTCTTCCTGGCTCTTCCTCCTCCACTTCCTACCTCTGTTGTTGCTGCTGCGGCTGCTGCTAGTGCTAGTGGCACTGCTGCTGCTACTGCTGCTGCTGATGCTGCTACGACTGCTTCTACGACTGCTGCTGCTAGTGCTAGTGGCACTGCTGCTGCTGCTGCTGATGCTGCTACGACTGCTTCTACGACTGCTGCTGCTGCTGCTGCTGCTGCTGCAGCTGCTGCTGCTGCTGCTGTGCTGCTGCCGCTGCTGCGGCGGGTGCCACTACCACACGACAACATCACCAACAACAATTGCAGTAAACATTTCAATAACTCCTAATTAGATCTCGTTCGATTCCGCTTGCTGCTGCTGGTGAAGCAGCATGCTGCGCAGGATAAGGCTTGATTCTCCAAGCACAGGTTTTAATGGATTCGCCTACGCCAAAAGGTACGAGAACCCAAGCAGAAACCCTATCGTTTTTCGGCATCCCAAGTTGCAGCCAGCGCTTCCTATCAATACATAGTCCCTGAAACATCTGACATCAGACCAAAGACAACCTATTGTAAAAGATGCCCGACCATGCCAGGCTTCCCTTGCTGCCTCTTCCTGTTTGGGTCACGACGACAGTGCCGTGCGCCAAGCCGCTGCAGCGGCGGTGGCTGAGCTGAGGACAGGCATAGACCAGTCACCTTGTGGTGTGGTCGGTGGTGAAGGTTGACCTCGCAATGACACCTCCTAGATCATGATTTTCAACAGGCTCCGTGCCTGAGCGCAGGCGAGGGTTGAGCAGCCTTTCACGGTTGCTGGCGTTGCCGAAAGTACGGCGCGTCAGCAGGACTCGCCTCCCCTACAGTAATTTTGCAGCAATCCTTAATGAGCAGTCTTCGCTAATATAAGGGCGCCACAACATTTTGTTGGTTTGGAGTCCATATGCAGCACTCTTTGGCTTTGCACCTCTGGATATAGGAGGACACTGATTTTACGTATTTTCCTACTGCAACTGTTGCTAGCACTACTATGCACTACTAGGCATTGTGCTTTCTGTTCATGGTCTTGGCTGCTGTTTGGGGGAGGGAAGTCGTACCGCAATCCAAAGTGGTTGTAGAACAGTCTTGCTCCCTTCCGCAAGTTCCTGGGCAAAGGGCGATTAGGCCCCAAGTAAGTTACGCTCATATGGCGGGATTTTGAAAGTTGTGGTCCCTGGATGCCTCAAGTATCGTGGGCCCTATTGTACCAGGCACCCAAAGTTGGACTACCATCTCGAAAGCCTACCATGACGCAGTGACCTGTACTTAACGCTTGGGTGCTGCCCCCACTCATTAACAGTTGGATAAGCTGTATAATATGATTATCTATAGCCCTTAATATGACCCCTATTCTAAACTGTAAGTGGGTGGGGACAGTGACTGTGGTAAAAGCCCTCACCCTTTCGTTCCACCTTGTCTCAAATACTCCCACGCGGAATGCATCCGGATGGACAGCACAAAACGTGCAGTTTGTCTGGGTCTCACTTGGGGTTTCCCAAAATTAGGGGTACCATTTTTTGGGTCCCCATAATAAGCACTATCATATATCGGGGTCCATATTGGGTCCCCCTATTTAGGGAAACTTGCAGTTTATTAGCATGCAGAAGGCAAAGTGCCCAAGCTTCAGCAGCATGGACGTCCACACACTAGCCCTTACTCAATCTATGCTTGCGCCTGTTGTGGGTCGCTTCGGAACATGCTATTAAGGCCCCAAGCGGGCACGAAAAGACTTGATTCTTGGGCTTGCCGTGCAGATTGCTGAAGCTTCAAAGGTAAAATGCGTGCACAAAAGAAGTGGAGGATTGGACGCTTCGGGCGAGTTGTGGCTGCAATAGGTGCGCGTGCCTTGCAGCTTGAGTATTTGGCAGATTTAGCAAGTGCCACTTGAACCCATTCCTGGCTCCGCAGGCGTCTGGCGCACGCTCACGTGTGAGCAACACTAGAGAGTTAGCAGGCAGCGTGTCGTGCCCATTTGGGTAATATTAGGGTTATATGGGCGTTAGATGGGGAGAAAGGAAAAGAAAATGGAAACTATAGGAAATATAGGGGTGATAAAAAGGTTATATGTTCTCCTTTTCCCAGGCTCCACTGGCAACCTGTCTGATGCACCCATGATGCCTGTAGTTTCTGCTGCTGGCATGCTGGCCTGAAAAAGTCGACGCCCGCCTTTGATGCACAAGAGGTCAGGGTTGCGACAGACATGAGGAAAGCCACTGCATTTCTTGACAAAGGGTTTGGGCTACAGACTGGCAAGCAACTCGAGTTCCATAGCAATAAGTGGGGCCTGGTGCAGTCATAGCTTGACATGCCATGCATGCGAACCATCTGTTTGAGCTGAGGGGTTCTTATTTGGCACTATTTGGTGGGATTCCGTAGATAGGGAGCACAGATATAACCCTAATATAGATACACTTGAGTCCTTATAGGGAGTCCCAGAGAGGGGCCCCCTGATTGTTGGGAACACTTTGTCCCCGTGCTAACCTGGGTATGCATGTCCATATATGTCTTACGCCCGCTGCATTTCAGCTTCTGTTTCTGTAGGACTGTAGGAGTCAGTAGGAGGCCGTCAGGCAGGGGAGTGGCGCGGCAGGCGCGGCATGCATCCTTTGGAAAATCTGGGATGTGTTAGCATAGGACCAGCAACAGTGGTGATGACAGAGGTAGTTTCGGTGGTGTTAGCAATGTTGATACTCATTCGAGCTTTCATAGCAAAACGAGCGGTCTTAACGTAACTGGCGCCGGTGTTGGTGGTGTCGATGATGTTTCCGGTGCTGCTGCTGCTGATGACAATGGTGGCGGTGATAGCGCTGGTTCTGTTGGTGTCGGAGGTGGATGCGGATGTGGAGACACTGGCAGTGGCGGTGGCGGTCGGTGATGATATGGTGGTATCAGGGTGTGGGACGGGGAAGAGCAGATGTGACGGGAGCAGTGACCTGCGTTAGCGTACTCGTGGTATACATGGTACTCCGTGTAAAGATAGTAGCCTCAGCAGTAAGGAAGTGTCCCTCGGTGGAAGATGCAAGCTGCAAGTTGTATGTATGAGCTTGTTAGTGGGATGGGCTTAACATGTCGCAATTCGGTTCAGGATCTGCAGAGTACTGCAGAGCAGCCAACACAGCAATTTAGTTGGTCTCTGGTTGCCCTCCACGATTAAACCTACTCTGGCCATCCCCTTGTAAGCCCATAGCTCGTTACCACTGGCATCCCACAACGCCATCTTTGAGAAATAGCCTGAGCCCTAAACCAACCCTAAACCCTGAACCCTTTTCCCTAAACCCTAAGCCCTAAACCCTAAACCGGTAGCCGCCTGAGGATGAGGAGGCAGCTGAATCGGGCGTCAACTCTTCCGGCGCCGGGCTTTGACGTCTGGGCTTACTAGGTGTATAGCCCCCCTGAAGTATATAGAACATGGAATTCCCCCAAAACCAGAAAAAGATCATATACCCCATATTGTATCTACCTAAGGGGACTATAGGGTCTAGAACCAGAGCAAGCATTCCTCGCAGATGTAGGTTCGCTTCTTTGCAGTCGCAAAGCTGCTATCCTGAGGCCAAGAACACTCTCCAACAAGTGCCTGCTCGGCGTGCGATGAACCGTCGATCGACGCTGGAGGTGGAGGGCTGTTTGCAGCTTATGTTCCAATCCTTCAGTGTGGTTGCGGCATGCCGATTTGCGTCACAGTCATGTAGCTTGCTCCCCCCAAAATGACCTCCTCGCAGACATGTCTTGGCGACAGGGGGCGAATCTGGAAGCTGGCGGTGATCAGGCACGGTGGATGCTTGCGCTGTAAGCTAGGCCAATTCGAGTGCTGCTCCTCTGGCCGCATTCATGATGACTCAATTGTTGTCAGCCCGAGTTGTTGCCATGGTTCCAGATACCTGACAACAGGGGTTCCCAAATTTGGGTCCTACATTCGTAGGTCGTTTGAGAATGTGCCATAAACCGTGAAGCAGGAAGGGCGCGCAGGTGCAGCTTCCGCAGCAAACGTTGTTACTCTGTTACTCCTATTTATTAATGCGAACCCTGAGTCACAAACTGCTGCCCTGTGGGGGCGGTATTGGGGCGATGGGGCGAGGCTGCGCCTGCTGCATCCGTTGTGGTGGTTGCCAGAATTCGGCCAAAGCTACCAAAGGAGGGGACCGAACCTGATGGCAGGATCCTAAGGACCCAGAGCTTTCTCGTTGCGGCCCGAATAAGTGCCAATAGGGTATAGAGGTTGGAGGGGGTATATTGGGTATAGGGTTTAGAGGCCTAACTACTGACCAAGGTCAGACTCGAATGCAAAAGAAAACGACTGGGTTAGATAGGGGCATACCGGGTTTACCCAACAATTTTCGGGCTGAGCATGTGGGCTCAGGTTCAGCCTCATGCTTAAGGCATCTCAAGGCTTCAGGGCTTAAGATCTAGCTCGTAGGAGCTAAACTCGAACTAAGAACTGGAACCTTCCACACTTTGGGGTCTTCAGCTTGTGGGAGGAAGCTTGGGAAATTCATGAGACCTGATGTCGCGGAAACATGTGGGAGCCGTTCAGAAAACCCGCTAAGTTACTCCCAAGGAGGGTACCCTCCAATCCCTTCATAATCCTGGGTCCCTAAAGCCACTCCCTCTGTGACATTGGCTCAAAAGTGTTGCTTCGTGGGACTCCTGGGCAGCTTCAACACACCGGTAAGCCTGGAACCCTAAATCCCAGCTGAGGTGTGGAAGTCTACTCGGACGGACAGACGATGGGTATCACGAACGGGTCTGAGCCTCAGTTGGAGTTGGGTTTTCGAGTTTCAGATTTAGTTTTGAGGTGCCGTGAATGCCCACCAATATAGTAGCATGCTAAAAATTTCAGTTGGGTGGTGGGTGGGTTATTATTAGGCCAGGGGATCATTTTCCTTGGTTCTTTAGAAGTTCTGAGCTGCTCTGGGAGGTCTCCCTGCAATTATTTTGCGTGCGTACGCAGGAAACCTATTTGAGAATCCCCCGCAACCCAAAACCCTAAATCCTAAACCCTAAGCCCCCTCAACCCTACACCCCAAATCCTAGGGCAAAACTCACAAGTTTTCAGGAATACAAGGAATCCTTTACGTTTGAACCTCCAAGTAGATGTCTCCTATAAGTAGGTTTCATACCCATCGTTTGCCGCGTTTCGCGGCTACAAAGTGTAGATTTCATTGGC